ACACGGCGCAGCACTGACTTTCAGACGAATTTTCATCGAAAAACAGGAACATATACGCCATACGAACAAAACACCTTGTGATTGACTTGTTCGTATGCTATGTATTTATTCTTGCTGTTAAATAAAAATTAGTTTGATAGTCAGCGTTGTACCATGTCCAATTCTAATATATGTCTCTGTTTGCGCGCTAGTAGCCACGCTGGTTCTGCACCACCTCACCAAGTTTTGCATTTCACGAAAGCCATCTTCTGCTTCATCTTCTTCACAGGGGATGCCCCGAACCTCCCCCCTTCCCACTTCTGAAATATTTCTGAACTTAACGAGATTTTGCGTGATCAGAAGCGCCACTACATTTTTGCGCGTCACCTCGCTTAGCATGGCCTCCGTGATCGCGGCCCACCTTTGACCAAGCGACCTTGTCGTGCGATGACGTCATAACGTTGCACCACGTGATGTGACGTTAATAGCAACGTCATGGTGACGTTACAAATTTGGCCGATACGCCACGCCCCGACGGCGTCTCCACAATGACGATAATTTTCGGCATCGCTCGTGTTGAACAATGACGCCACTGGACGGTCCATGGCCAATTTTCGCGTCTCATGAGGCGTTTGAAGTTTTCGCTTCGGAACAACACTTAACTACCGGAACCTGTAATCTAGAGCCTCCGCTGGCGGTGTAAGATCGCACTACACAGCTCGAACCTTAGAGAACAACTCTGAGCCGTCCGGCCGTCCAGCAAGCAGAGGGAGCCGCTTCGAGAAGGTGCCGCGGCAGGGGCTCAGACTCACTAAACGAATGCCGGTTCCAAATGTTACTTATTTAGAAGTGAAGTTAACGTTCTTCTTTTAGATGCGGAGCATCTAATACTCGAGGCTTGTAGTGCGGCGCCGTCCGCAAGCTTCCTCCTCCTTCTTCCACCATCTGTGCATCCCTTCCTCCTCTACACACCGCGCGCGCTTCACTCCTCCACCATCTGTGCACCCTTCCTCCTCTACACACCGCGTGCGCTTCTCCTCTTCACGAACATTCGCTAGCTGTATAATGTAGCGCGCATGCGCCGTCACGCTTCGAGAACATCGGCAGCTGACGCGCGCGCATGCGCCGTCGCGCTTCGAGAACATCGGCAGCTGACGCGCGCGCATGCGCCGTTGCGCTTCTTCCCCTTCTCGAACACTCGACAGCTGACGCGCGCATGCACCGTCACCCACCATCTGTGCCGCGCGCGCTTCTCCCCTTCGAGAACATTCTACAATTCTCCTGATTCTCCAGTGGACGCGCATGATTCTCCAGTGGACGCGCATTGGACGCGCCGTCGCGCTTCGAGAACATTCAACAGCTGACAGTGCATGCGCCGTCGCGCTGTATATATACTCAAGGTCGGCGCTCGCTCGCTCAGTTGCCGCTCGTCGGCTGGTTTGTACGGCGCGTCGACGTCCAAGGTCGCGGTGAAATGAATTCCAACGAATCCACAAACACAATGATCGACGTCCCTTCGACCAGCGCCGCCCTTTCGCATACGTGTGTACGTGTTCACTCATTTAACACCCCCTCCTACAACCACGTTAACCAATTTAGCCATCGACCCAAGTAAGTCGCAATTTAACACCCCATTTCACAACCACGTTAACCAATTTAGCCATCGACCCAAGTAAGTCGCACTTTAACACCCCATTAACCAATTATATGCTCCGCATCCTCCTCAGTGTTCTCCCGAGGGAAGCTGCGGGCAATCTTTTTTTTTCGTACTACCAAAACCTGCGTCGGTTACGGAAGGTCACCGGCCCTCGAACAATACATAGAACTTATTTGAAGACATATATCGCTGCGCTGTTGCTTAAGAATTGCCATCATATGGAAGTTCGAAAAGATACACTGCACAACACACCCCGGCTCACACACGGTGTAGTGTGGTCATTGTTCATAGTATTTTACCCGTACTGACTACGATCATAAGCGTTCGCGCGTAACAGTAAGTTCACAGTCTCCGGGCAGTCTGTGGTGTATATGCAACGTCTCGCAGCTGCTTACCATACGCCTATTATCAGGTTGTGAAAAAAGAAAACAACAGATGGAATATAGATGCATAATTATGGTCTGTAAACGCTTATCGAATCATTAAATCTTTATCTACATTAAGCAGCGAAACGGATATAAGTTAATGAAAGAAATGGTCAACGCAATAAAACCCAGAAAGGAGTCAAGAAATAGCGAACGGGACTAATAATTGTAGCGGTTTTATGACCCAAAACTACGACATGATTACGAGGGACATCTCAAAGCAGGGCTCCAAATTTTTCCACTCGATGGGATTTTTTTTTTACAACACACGTAAGCCTCAGCACACGGATCTCTATAGCATTTCTCCTCCATAGAAATGCGGCCGGGATTCGATCCCGCTACCTTCGGGTCAACAGTCCAGAACCTTAACCACGAGACCCAAGCGGCGGGTGAGAAGAGGACCGAAAGGTGGGACACGAATCGAAAGACGAACACAAATAAAAGCGCAACACCTACTTTTCGACTTTGAAGCATTATACACTTGAAAGTGCGGGATATTGAACTGAAGGGGACCTCCAGGTATACAGAAGCATATAGAGCTAAAGCATCACTTACAGTAAAAAAAAAAAAAAACTTTTTTTTCTCGAAAGAATCCGTTGTTTATTTGTTCCTGCGTTATCGACACACTCGGAGCACGGCAAAGCGGCCGTGGTATAGCTCTGTGAAAGGTCAACCGAATGTGTGCGCGTGACACTTGCCAGTAAGCAGGAAGATTCTGTGGAAGCAGCGTCAACCGTCTTTCTATAGCGTTCGGCTTCGCGCCGTAAACTTTGCACGACGTCTCTCGAGGAAACGCATCGGGTCGATGTGACCCCCGTACACTGGGAAAGGGGGAGTTCTGCATGACCGCGCACACCACATTCTCACGGGACAGGCTGTTTACATCCGAGAATGAGCACCTCTCTCGGTACCCGCCCATTTTGTTTTTCATTTTCCGCGGTTACCGTTATTATGCGATTTCTTTCGCAAAAGGGAACAGTTGACTCTTCAAACTCCAGCGTTCGTGCGTGAGATCTTCTTTTCGTGTTACTTCAGCTCAGATGTGCTCTCTTGAAAGATTCTCAGGGCACAATGACCGCGGAATCGCGAAACGGTAGGTGATCCGAAAGGTCGCATATATTCATCTTGGTAGGAAGCGCAGCAACTATTACACAGAACACACAACACAAGCGCTTAACTTCAGCTAAACGCTTATTGAAAACGTCAGAGTTTATAGAGGGGGTGAAAGAGAAAAAAAATAATAACTAAAGGCTGACCAACAAAAAGCACACGTGCCAGTCCCGTACATTACTTATCCGTTATTATCTGTCACCCCATCAAAAAAACAAAAAACAAAGTTATTTCCGCGTGAGCGAGATAGAGGGTGCACTCATCACGTGTCATTTCCGCAGCTTCTACTATAAAACGGGTAAATAAATCTCCGTCCCGATATAACACGCAAGTGTTATCGAAATACGGCACCCAACCACACTCTTTAAAGTCGGTACCTTTTTGCACTTTATAACTGTGTAATAGTTGCTGCGCTTCCTACCAAGATGGATTCATACCAACTGGCCCAATACAATTGTTTACTGAGTCGCATATATTCGCCGAACTTACCTTAACCGCATCGAAATTCAGACATTATGTATGAATCGATAAAATGAGCGTTTCGTGACGTCGGTCTTAAAATTTTCACACTGTGTCTGGTATGGAACCACCTCTGCACTTCGTTCGTTACGTTTTATGGAATCCGGCCCGCAGTAGCCACTGTTATTATTAACAGCTGCTACCCCCAAAAACGCGTCTGTTTCAGTGCACAAATATTATTCTTCGTAAGGATGCAATGTGTATCCTTTCTTAGTATTTCCGGTACCGTTTCCATATGTAACTTAAGTCATTGCCATAGTCACAACGGCACCCTGGCGCCTTCATACACTCTTAATTCTTTCACAAGCACCTTTGCAATTTCTAATGGGGTAGCTCGCTGGAGATACGCAGTGGTTGGTTATGCCTTGCAGTCTTTATTTTACCTTTCTCTCCCTCTGTCTCAATCGCTAACACGATTGGGCGCAATAGATAAGTCAGTGAAAGTGCAACTCGAATAGTCTTTGGAAGAGAGAGAGAGGGGGGGGGGGGGTTCGTGCGACGATTTGTGCGATCGACATGTGCGAACTGAATGCACTCGTTTCCTTTAAGTATCGTGATTTTCCGGATGTACTTGAAGAATGGGTGCTAGTGAAATACAGGATTCTAGCAGCTTGATTTCGCGCAGGAGCTGCAGAAATGTTTCTCCAAACCTTTTTTTTTTTCAAATTTTTGTGTACGTCGCCCGCAGTTAGACGAATTCGAACTACAAGCGCAAACGCCACCCAACTAGTAACTTCATGTTGCATCTCGCCCGATGCTAGAACTATATCCCGCCGCTACAGAAGACCGATGAAGTTCTCAAACGATCGCACGCCTGTGGACCCTATAGAGAAGGGGTCACACACTCGAACTCCCGACCTTGAACACGCACACGGATTCAGCTACGCTTTCTCGATGAATACAAACGACCTTATTTTTCCCGTAGAAACGTGCAACGATATTTGCACTCCAGCGAAGCGAGCGCTGTTGCTTCGACACCGCTCGTGACCTCGGCTGCTCTGGGACACACGAAAGGTGAAAGTGGGCCTGGAGAGGGCCGATAATTTACGACCGCATACCCAACAGCGCACGATGTATACCGACAGCGCGAAACGTGTATGCACACTTAGCTCGGCTCCTCGTGCAAAGAACCCCCAAATACTCGCACACGCACGCGCATATTCGTATGCGCCGTAGATGCGCAAGGCGCAAGCGCACGGCGGAGGTCGAAATAAGATGGAGTGCGTGCGACAGGGAAAGGGCTGCCGTGTGGGTGCAAAGGTGGCGCCCTCTGTTTGAGAGGGCAGTGACAAATAGAGTGCTCGACTCACCCGTCGACCTCGAGTTGCACCCCGTTGGAGACGCTCCGGTTGGCGAGGTCGTATTGACAGTGCACGGACAGCCCGAGGTCCTGGTTTGTCACGATCATGTCGTGGTGCTGAATCACGATGTCGGTCGAGAACTGGCCTAGGTTCTGCAGGGTATCAACAAAAAAAAAAGGGGGGGGGGGGAAGAAAACGTCAACGGCGTGTTTTATAATCACTCCAGTGCACAGTGGACAGACAAGAAAAAAAAATAAGGCAAGTTAAAATGTGGTTATAGATTGAGAGCGATTCAGGTTACGCAGGTTCGCATGTGTCCCGATTCTGACGGAGCAGGAGCATCCTAAGAGATCTTGTCTACAAATGCGCGTACGAAAAAAATCGACGCACGTCTGAACAAGAGTTATGTAGCACCAAGGATGCATCTCGACCGTCGACACGCCTATAAAACACATTGCCCTTCGTTCGTCAACTGATATACATGAGTGTATGTGTGCGCGCGCGCTTTATGTAATGCTGCTGTGCGACACACACCAGGGGAAAGATAGTCTGAGTTCGTACTGAGCAGGTAAAGCAGGCTTCTTTTAACGAATGTCATGGCGTGCCTGTCGGAGCTTAAGAGTTTAAATGCGAAGCTGGTATAGACTATTTTACAGATGGTTTTCGGTGCCGCCATATTGGGTCGCTAACCAAACCAAACAACAGTGCTATGGTTGATGTTCACACATGAAAATGATTGAATTGATGCATTCGACTTTATATGAACTTAAAAATTCACGTTGGGATGTACAAAAAGAAGAAAAAAAAGCGTTTTCTTAACAGCCTTAGGTGGTAGAGGCAATGTTCATTACATCATCATCATCATAATCATAATAATCATCATGACTACGCCCACGGCAGGGCAAATGGCTCCCCTATGTTCTGCCAATTCGCCTGCTCCTGCGATGGTCGTGGACACATTACGCTCTCAAACTTCTTAATCTCATAAGCTCACATAACTTTCTGCCTCCACACAGTCCGTTTGACTTCACTTGCAATCGAGTCAGCTGCCCTTAATGACCGGCGCTTATCTTGCCTACGTGCTGTGTGCCCTGCCCATGTCCGTTTCTTCTTAATTCCATCAACGATGTCTTAAAACGCGCTTGTTCAGTGATCCATTCGGCTTTACGTAAAATCGTCTGTAGGGTACAGGAATCTTCCGCAAATTACGATAATTTCTTGCGCAGATCCCCAAAAAGCGTATGGCCTGACAGTAAATACAGCTGAACGTGTAAGCGCTGCCTTCGACCAAAACTTTTGGCCGAGGCAGCACTCGGAACACTGCGAAACGTCTTCCCTCTGGCCCTGCTCCTCGGCGTTTTCGTAGAAGCCGAATGAGTCGAGTTGCTAAGAAACCAAACAATAGGGAAGAGAAGCACCAACAGGCAAGTACAGCAGTGTTGTGTATATAAGAAAGGACCGATTACGCCTTCGCCCTGGCTTCGCACTCTTGCGTCCACTTTTTCCACGCGGACCACCAAAGGATCTTCCTTCCTGGTCCCCTTCACTGCAAGGTCCGTCGATCTTTTTTTTTTTTTTTTCGGGACGCTACGCCTTGTTCGGCTTCCTTCTCTCGGACACAAGCTTTCGTATACCGTATATGCGCACCTCGGAGCCGAAAAGTGGCCGGCTCACGAAACCGAAATCAGCCAAGGGTGCCGTCGCCACGCAAGACTCAGTGAAACCCCTTGCTTCGCACGCTTCTCACAGACACGCACACGATCTTCCTCCCCCCCCCCTTTTTTTTCTCTTTTTTTGGTTTGTTCTCCACCGCACAGACAAACTCAATGGCGGACTCGTGGTTCGACGGCGAAGCAAAGACATGCGAAATAAATAAATACAAGAACACGGAGCCCACATTCATAATTCATATACGCTCCCATGACCGTGACATTCAAATTTTCGAGGCCCTGCAACCGCGACTCGGAAACAACGCCGGCGGCGCTCTGCGCGACGTTTTCCGAGAGTTGCCGTGCTCCCAACGTTGGTCCTATACCGGCCGAAGTAGCACTGTGCGCCCCGCCGCGCTGGTCTAGTGGCTAAGGTACTCGGCTGCTGACCCGCAGGTGACGGGTTCAAATCCCGGCTGCGGCGGCTGCATTTCCAATGGAGGCGGAAACGTCGTAGGCCCGTGTACTCAGATTTGGGTGCACGTTAAAAAAACCCAAGTGGTAAAAATTTCCGGAGCCCTCCACTACGGCGTCTCTCATAATCATATGGTGGTTTTGGGACGTTAAACCCCACAAATCAATCAATCAATCAGTAGCACTGTGCTGCGCTGCTGAGATTCAGCAGGAATTGGGTGCGATTCCCGAAGAGGTGGACAGCGTTTCTAGGACCGAGCGGTTCCGGTAACAATGACGGCGGCAGAATTTGGGTGCGGATCATACGCTATGACTACACCATACTGTATTATAACTATAAGACCGTTTACCTTAGACTTTCAGCAGTGGCGTAGCCGAGGAGGTTGTTGCATGCATTCATTTCTTGAGGGGTCAAGACGCGTGGTTTTAACGTTAAATACTTCTATTCGTATACCACCACCCCCCCTTTTTGTTGCTTATTCTAACTTGTTAGCCTACAGGTGAACTCAGCTGGTAGACTGACCACCCACCCTGTCAAGTTGTTGGTCTCAGGTTCGAATCACGCAGCAGGAAGAAGCCCCCCTCAACACGACACTTCATTTCTGAGAAATCTACCACTTCTTTTTTTTCTTGTTTGAAATTGTAACTTCATGCTGCTAAACTAGCGGCTGACATTCTTGATTGACTGATATGTGGTGTTTAACGTCTTAAGACCGCCATATGATTATGAGAGACGCCGTATAGTGGAGGGCTCCGGAACTTTCCATCACCTGGGATTCTTTAATGTGCACCCAGATCTGAGCACGCGGGCCTGCATCATTCTCGCCTCCATCGAAAATGCAGCCGCCGTAGCCGGGATTCGATCCCGCGACCTGCGGGTCAGCAGCCGAGTACCTTAGCCCCTAGACCACGCAGAGGGCCGGCTGACAATATTTAAACCCTTTCATACATGACTGTCACAATACAGTTTCTTTCTCCCAGTTACTAAAAACCACTTCCTCGACTTTCGCTTCTCAGATAATAAAAAAAAGGTAACACAAAAAAACGAAAATAAGAAACTCGATCAGCGGGCGATGCCCCCACGGATGGACGAAAGAAAGACGAATGGTGACGCGAAGTTCACACAGCACCACCCTCGACCACAAATTGCGTGATACTGCACCATAAGCGGCACACAGTACCTCCACCAACGTGGACTGACGCCGGCGGACGTGGCCGGCGAAACCGCACACCCCTGTTGTCACGCGAAGTCAAGCCAAGTATTGCGAAAGCAAGACTGGCAATCCTGCACACGAGTAGCGTACGTACAACACACAAATAAACCACTGACGACATCATGCCTTTTATTCCTCGAATCCTAAAAAAAAAAAGGAAGAAGCTCTTGGCTTTCTGTGTTCTCAATATCACTGGTGCTTTTCCTCTCTCTCTCTCTCTCTCTCTCTCTCTCTCTCTCATCACAACCTATGGAACGGGGGTCGTTGGGTACGTACGCACGTTTGCTACGCTAACTATGTGCACTGCTGTTGCACGCTATAGCCTGTAACAGCGACCGCAACCGTGGCCTCATTAATAGAGCTTCCGCCTCGGGTATACGTTAGGTAGTGGTATCGTTTCCCATCGCAGCCAGCTACACCACCGGTTCTTACGGCGCGCATAAGCGTAACTCCGGGCTCGCCGCCCGGCTTTCGCTCAGTGTTGTTATGTTTGGGGAAAGGATCCCGTGCCTTTAAAAATCGCGCCGAAAAAAAGAGGAAGAGAGCGCAAGCGCTGAACATTGGCAACACCTTCGGGAGTCGTCAAACACTTCGCGAACCGCCGGCGCTGCCCGCCTTACGGCGAACAGCCGGAAAAATCGGCGGTTCAGCGTTTGTCTAACAGCCAGTCACGAAAGCGAGCGCTTGCCCCTGCACTCTATTCACCTTCGATGCGGAGGTCCACGGCCACTTAAACCCGATACCAATTACGTTAGGCTGATGGCGCCACAAACGACGGTGGGACGTGCGCGTCTTGAAGAGCCCAGGACACGCGCTCCTCTGAGAAACTCGCTCGAAGTTTGGCCTTTCCTATTCCTTCTGTGCGCGTGTTAATGGCTTCTCGACCGAAACGTGCCATGAGTCTAAAAGCGTGCACATCGTTGAAGGGCGCATTTCTGCGTGGTCACGTGGTGGTCCCTTGCAAATGCTGTTTGTTGTGGTACGCGCGGGCTGTTCAAACACGACACGAAGGCTCGAGTGCAACGACACGGCACAACTTCTCGAAGCGTTGTGGAACCTGACACGGTGGTCTAATCGCTATGAGTCTCTGTTGCTGATTCGCAGGTCGCGGAATCGAATCCCGGCAGGGGCGGCTACATTTTTCGGTGGAGTTAAGAATGCTAGAGGCCATGGTGTAGTTAAATTTAGGCGCACGTTGAAGAAATCCAGGAGGTCGAAATTTTCCGGAGCCTTCCATTAGGGCGTCTCTCATAATCATAAAGTAGTTTAGGGACGTTAGGCCCCAACCCTTATTACTATTGCGGCCCTGTGATGACCATTCCTAAAAGATTGCTATTCGCCCGGCTAAACCATACGTCTGGTGACAGGCTACACCTTATCACAACATTCATCCGCGAAGCACACGCACACGCATAGAATCATATACACAGCTGATACGCAATGTACAACAAAATGCATAGCGAGAACAACGCTTATCTAACGAATCTCACTCGAACACTACGGGACACTAAAATAGAATGGAGATTTATGTAGCTGGCATTTCCCATTCTTTGAAAGAACCCCATAAGAAAGCGTTTCTGAAGTACTTATGGCAAATACGTCTATGCGATCGTTCTTTTTTTGTATCTACTTGATGCGCTCTCCGAAATGTGTACGTAATTCAGTGAACCTCACTATTCTCTTTTGTCTCTCTTTTCGTCACTCTATCCCTTTCGGCAATGCAGGGTAGCGAACCGGACGTGCGTCTATAGTTGACCTCTCGGCCTTTTCTTTAAGGTCGAATGCGCAAACATTCCCGTTGAAGAGCTACTTTTAGTAACGACTTATCCCGCTACTTGACTTGTTGAAGCCTATTTCCCGAACAACACCAGTGTACGACTCTTCGTTAGAGTGCGCACCCTGTCGGGGAATACGGTAGACGAAGCAGGTATCCCCCAGCATCACGAGCTCTCATCTCCGAAAACTGAAATTTCCTTTCATTCGTCGAACACGTGTGACACCTTCGTTCGTCTCTTGTATCTGATGCCGTTCTGCGGATTCATCACTGAGAACCGTGCAACGTCGACCACGAATTTGCGGCATCCAACGCTTTCCTTCCCTTCCGGAAGAAGTCTCAGCGGAAGGAAGCTTCCATGCTTTCGACCGCACTGCACGCTTTTACCGAGACGGAACGCGGCATTTGGAAACAATTTGAAGGCAGTTTCTTCTTTCAATGTCAGCCCAAGCATAACTGCCGCAGCGCACGCGACTGACTTTGACTCCAGATTCACGTAGAGGAAAAAAAAAGAAAAAGAGCACACTATAGTTTCGTATGCGGCTGGGAAGGGGAAGAAAAAAAGTCCAGGAAACGAAAAGCGCGCAGTATCATGGAACCCCGTCGCGCTTGCTTGGTCGTTTGGGATGAGGCATACGTATATGCGCTTTCCGTACCTTCCTCTTCCGCTGTGAACCAAGGAGAGGATTTTTTTTCTTTTTTTAGTTTTTATTCTTTCTCTGAAATTCGCGCGGCGATTCGCGCTCTCTCAGGGCAGAGCCGTTATGTAAACTTTCGTCTCGGTTCGCTGCACTTTTCCTACTGGCAAGGACTCATGCTAGGAAACAGGTAGATGTGAGACCCACCGGTAATATATATATATATATATATATATATATATATATATATATATATATATATATATATATATATATATATATATATATATATATATATATATATATATATATAATATATATATATATATATATATATATATATTGAAGAGGTGTACACTACTAAAAAAACTGTTTACTTGTCTACAATTTAATCTTCTTCATTCAACGTCGGATCACCTTTCAAGATTGTTGCTTTGGCCATCAATTGGCCCTTGCGCCATTAAAAACCACTCTCATCATCTAGATTGCTGCTATAGCGACATCGGGACGACACTATCCACCGTTTTCCGAGTGATGACTGTGGCATTAAAGAGGCTTTACAGCACGTCAGCGACTCTCCTCGCTAAGTTTTGCAGGCCCTCGCGATCGTATAGCTCACCTTGATACGGGAGAGCAGTTACGACAACACACGGCAGGTGGAAAACACACAATCTATGCGTAACCAAACAGAGGTAGTGCTTTCGGCATCATTAGAACTCTTAACAGGCGAGTTGCAGTAATGAAGGATACCAAGTGAGAATCCAAGCTCGTGCCCTGACTTTATCGCAAACGCATTCCGTGGTCACGAGACAAACGGGCTGAAAAAAAAAGCGAGTGGGCAAACACATCCAGGTACAAGGGAGGATAATTAGCGTCGTCCCGAGCACGCCGAATATTTATTGACCTTCGTGGTTTGCGCGTAGACCGGCATTGAAAAGGCACGAGCGCGTGAGCCGAAGGATCGTGCACGTGCCATTGCAAGAAAAATCCGCTGGCGCGTGCATGACTGAAACGGCGAGGTTGTCTTTGGACTAGCTGTCGGAAGGAATGGTACCACCTGGCGTGATAGATGCCGGCTATTAGCACCTTTAACGATGGGAGTCGTGAATAATTAGCGCTGTCAGCAGCGAAAGCGCGCCAGTTCAGAACGGTGGCACACGTTTTCTCTTGCTTCCGTGTTTCACCATAGATCGAAATGTGCACCGTGTTACGTACAGCCTTCCTCATTAGAGAGATTTAGTACTGCGTACGCTGCGTACGTGGCGGCGTTGCGTACGTAAGGACGCCACGTTCTGCGTAGTGCGCATGCGCAGACCGCAACGCGCACGTATCGCGTTACGTACGCAGCCGCTACGTACGCACGCAAGAGATGCGTGCGTGCGTACGTATGAGGTGATCGCGCCGCTCTCGAACAAGTTCGCGACAGCGCGAGACTTCGTTTTGCAAAATGGCGGCATCGAAGGCAAGCACCGACCGGCTCTGTGGCTTAAAATATGGCCATAATCTGGCTATAACACTTGGATTGGCTCACATTGGCTGTCAACAACACGTGCTTCTATTTTGATCAACCAGATGGCGCAACACGCTTCACGCTCGTTACGTACGCGGGTACTACGGCGTACTAAGAGCCGATTAGTGGCAAACGACGCCACGTAACGCAAGGCGCTTGCGTGATGCGTACGTAGCACCATTCCGCAGTACTAAAACTCTCTATTTTCAGCTATACATCGTGCGAGCGTCGACCGCACGCTGTGCCAGCGTCTTAACGACGGCGGGGCCAGCTGCGCATCTCGCGCATGCGCACAGAAACGTTTCCAGTGCAAGCATCACCAAGTTACGCTGCTCTTTTCAGAAAGGTGGACGCCCTATCATAATCTTACCCCCGTATTCAGAAACGCTCCTCGACTCAACTTCCACCCTTCACTTGACAGAGTCGAGCACTGCGCCGCTGCTCGGCTGAAAATGATACTGCGCTACACAAGGATCGCAGCAGATTATCGCTGATATGCAGTGACTTGCCGTGCCTAGAGACGGCGCTCCCATCGGCTTTCTCAAGTGAAGGTGAAGCGTTGAGTGAAGGGACGTTCTAGAATGCGGGGGTTAGTCACGGTCTCTTTAAGGAAATTCAAACTAATATTACTGTTTCACCGCAACGGCGAACTAATGAGTGGGATAGCAACAAAAACCAATTTTATGCAGAGTAATGATGATGATATCTGCGGTTTAACGTCCCAAAACCACGATGTGATAATGAGAGACGCCGCATAAGTGGAGGACTGCGGAAGTTTCGACCACCTGGGGCTCGTTAACGTGCACCAAAATCTGAGCACACGGGCCTACAGCATTTTCGCCTCCATCGAAAATGCAGCCGCCGCAGGCGGGATTCGACCCCGCGACATGCGGGTCAGCAGCCGAGTACCTTAGCCGCCAGACCACCGCGGCGGGGCTTTATGCGAAGTAAGGAGAACAGCTAACGCTTTTCGATTGCCATCTCGCGCAGCTCCACGAAACGCTGGCGTAAGGCCGTTCCTGGCAGCGAGGCGGTTTTGGTGCCGCTTGTCGACTCACCGTCAAGAAATAGGGCCGTTTGCTGACGTCTGCCGAAACAGCGCGCGCTTCAGCGCTGTCGACCGCCTTAATAGAGAGTTTTAGTACTGCGGAATGGTGGTACGTACACATCGCGCAAGCGCCTTGCGTTACGTGGCGTCGTTTGCCACTAATCGGCTTTTAGTACGCCGTAGTACCCGCGTACGTAACGAGCGAGAAGCGTGTTGCGCCATCTGGTAGATCAAAATAGAAACACGTGTTGTTGACAGCCAATGTGAGCCAATCCAAGTGTTATAGCCAGATTATGGCCATATTTTAAGCCACAGAGCCGGTCGGTGCTTGCCTTCGATGCCGCCATTTTGCAAAACGAAGTCTCGCGCTGTCGCGAACTTGTTCGAGAGCGGCGCGGTCACCTCATACGTACGCACGCACGCATCACATGCGTGCGTGCGTAGCGGCTGCGTACGTAATGCGATACGTGCGCGTTGCGGTCTGCGCATGCGCACTACGCAGAACGTGGCGTCCTTACGCACGCAACGCCGCCACGTACGCAGCGTACGCAGTATAAAACTCTCTATTATCAGACTTCACCATGGCAGCTCAAGCGACGCAGCGTCACTCCCCCCCCCCCCCCGCCCCCCTCTGCCCAGCTATTCCCGGCTCCCTTCATAGGAGGGGCGGGGCGTCTCACTTCTGTTTGAGGAGATGTCCACGACAGTACCCACACGCCGGAGGTTCTTATCATTAGCGTTCTCCGTGCGACGGCTATTGCCGGCTCGATTTGTCTCTGCTTCGACCGGGTTTGTCGCCAGCGCTCTCTGAATTGTACTCGCGGGTAGGACACACGATGCGTGAGGTGATGTTGTCACTTGAACTTTATACGGAACATCACGGCGATGGCAAATCCGACGGACGGCAAATTCGTCGAGCATGTCCACGTAATTGCAATCGCAACAATAACGAACTAGAACGAAGTACGGTTTGATCGCAATAGAGCATACTAGCGAGAACAGATCGTTGTATACCCACACCGGCACGCCCTGTCACAGAACGCGCAAGCACGGCATATTCAGCGCATGCGCTGTCGGCAGAAGGCGGCATCGACATCGGTAGCGCTCCGCTAGGATGCTTTATTATATTCAAAAATGAGATAAGGAAATTTCATGACCTGACTGACCTCCTGCTTGACGTCGCAGTCGAGCTCGTGGTAGGCCATGCGTATCTGGAAGTCGAGGCTGTTGATGACGTCAGTGACGCAGGAGTTGGGTCTCGCCTTGGCGTACACCTTGCCGTTGAAGATCTTGCTCGTCTTCACCATGGCGACCATCTCGCGGGCCTTGCACTGAATTGTCACTGTATGTGGGAAAGAAAGAAAGAAGAACGAAATACATCAGTCGAAAACGCGTTGCCCCCATGGCATTTAGGTATGTCACTATTGCAAGCGCATGAACGTTTGATCGTCTGGAACTAGAAGGCAAAGTATGCCGCACGTGTGTAGTGTCACACGCGCATTGGTATGGACCAGAATTTTTGGCACTTGTAGGCGTAGGTGTGCATACGGGTCTCCTTTCATCTAAGGGGGGCAACAATTTGGCCCCGAATTTTCACTCAGTCGGGCCTCTTACGTCATTTTTTTATGCGGAGGTTTATGGGAACGGATAGTTTTTACGATTATGGTGGCCAGACCAAAGACCACATATGTTGCGATAGAAGAGCCGTTGCCGTGCCGCCTTTACCCTGGAAAACCGGTGACCAATGCCAGACCTTCGTAAGAAGCACGTCATCGTATCACTGTCCTATAGATTCCGCAGATTGTTTTATCTCGGATTCGACAGACAGGTCGATGAGAGAATCGGTGGGGGGGGGGGGGGGGGGCGCTGAATGAACCCCCCTCTCCCAATAGAGACTCCTGTGTACGCCTATGCTACCCTACATATCCTAGCAAGACGCTGCCATGCCCCGCCGCGGTGGTCTAGTGGCTGAGGTACTCGGCTGCTGACCCGCAGGTCGCGGGATCGAATCCCGGCTGCGGCGGCTGCATTTCCGATGGTGGCGGAAATGTTGTAGACCCGTGTGGCCAGATTTTGGTGCACGTTAAAGAACCCAAGGTGGTCGAAATTTCCGGAGCCCTCCACTACAGCGTCTCTCATAATCATATGGTGGTTTTGGGACGTTAAACCCCAGAAATCAATCAAGAGGCAGCCATCTTTGCCGAGGTTGCGGGTTCGGTGGAACTAACGACACCGACATCTTCACGATAGCGCCCACCTTATCGCACGCTTGCCGCCAGGGTTCTCTCTCCATCGGATGCGACGTCATAAGACCTGCAGACCCCGTGCTAGCCGCAACGACATTTGACAGTTATATAGGGTCAAGGTTATTACGCTTGTTCTCAACACACGTGCAAGAGCAACGGAATACGATCTGCTGCGAAATACAAAAATATCACACCAGACGGAAGCGCCGAACTGCGAGGACATTCGTGGGAATTCCAATTTATTACAATGGGTAATTACCAAGTGCGGTGTGGTTTTCCTTTCGACAATCAACCCAAGTGGACACGCTTTAACGCTGTTCAGGTTTACTGTAATACTTTTTATCAACCATTACGCGCATCTGTGACTCAGCAACGTAGTACACTAGCCGTCGCTAACAAAGCATGCACAACACTCTCCCAAACGTAGGGTAGCAGACCAATCTCGCATCTTTCTCCCAAGGCACCTATTCGCTGCAAGACAAAAACAAAGGGGCAATGCTTATTTTTCTAGAAAACTGTAATACAGAGGGCTAAACGAGGTAGTTATGAATTCGTGATATGATTCATTGCATTTTTTTTCAATGAATCATTTCGGATGTGCAATTCAGCTTCGTTTTGCATCTTTGCCTGTAACTCTACGTAGCCAACCGAGCCAAGCTTGGTTAACCTCCCTGCCTTGGATGAATGAAAAACGTTTATTGGGGTCCTGAAGGATTCTACCCCCGTTTTATAGGGGTAGGATCGCGGGCCGCTCCCACGTTGGGACGGGGAGGCCCAGCCTCACCGCCGCACCTGCCTTTCTTCTCCATTTTTCTCTCTATCCCTCTCTCTCTCTCGTCACTAGGAATAAGAAGTCGTTTTTCTTAACGAGGCACTACTACGGAAACCTATCAGCATTTTCATTTCCTTTATTGTAACAGAAAGTACGAAAGAAAACGTTTTTTTTTTTTTTGTTAACAAACAAGAAGTTCTACCACCTTGAAGCGATGGGGTGGTTGACATTGACTTTGACCCACCGAATACACGCGCGGAACATGAAAGAGCTTGCCGACTCCATCCCGTGTTCGGGAAAAAAAAATCCATTCGAGACCTCGCTCACCCGCAATGCAAAATAGATGACAGTCATTGGCACCCGTACAGAAGACTTCGGGGGGCAACGAGTGACCGCTCTGTAGTTATTTATAATACGATATGCATGGCAGTCTGCTTGGTTGGCTCCCACCACCTCGCGGTCCTCAATTTTTCTCGCGGCTCGAGATGGAGTATGTGCGACTTCCACCACTAACCGAGTGCACGAGATGGGAGCACTGGGTCTTTCCAGACCTCGTTTGTCAAGACAACACGGCGACCAACAACCACGAGGCGGCATTCCTCCTCTGCGTTATCCCGGGGAAGCGTTTTTATTAATGGTCCAAGTTCTTTTTCTTTTGCGCGCCTCATTTTCAAAGGTGCCAGTCGAAGGTGACCATACTTGACCTGACTAAATCTATACAGTACTGCAGATGCTGCGGAGACTACCATATCGAAAAGAGAAAAAAAGGACCCACCTGTAACAACCCTCTGCAGGGTGCGGCATTGCCGCGGTTCCCATCATGCATCGTGCCCTTTTCGTGGCTACCCAGTCTGCGAAGTTGCCTTTCCTCTGTCGCGATTTTTTTTTGTAATTTTTCCCTCTCTTCACAACATTTCTTTTTAACATCTTTCATTCCCCTCACCCTTTTCCCCAGCACAGGGTAGTCAGCCGGTCTAAGAACTGGCTAACCTCCCTGTTTTTCCGCTTAGACTTCCTTCCTCCTCTTCCTCCTGCGAAGTGACCGTAACACACTTGCAGTGGAATCGTACCGGGCTACATTCAAAGCGTGGCTATGCAGTGAAACCGTGAATAAGTTTAGAGTCACAGATTACAGTATAAAAAATCACTAGCTGTGATTATTTTCAGCGCCATGTGTCTGGATAATTGATATGCGGCGTTTAACGTCCAAAAACCACCATATGATTATGGGCGACGCCGTAGTGGAGGGCTCCGGAAATTTCTACCAACTGGGGTTCTTAAGCGTGAACCCAAATCTGAGCACAAGGGCCCATCGCCATATGTTTTATAATTGATAAGAAGATCAATGTCAAAGGCTTCACTTTTGAATGTCCCAACGAAAGCTCTTTTGTTCATTTTGGCCTAGTCAGCTCAATGATATTTCTTGAAACTTGGTGCGTAAAGTCTCTGGCTGCGCAATCCCTTTGTAGACACCATCAAAATCTATGACGTCACCGCGACTGGTGCGGGAACTTCAAGGTGGCGTAGCCACCCAAATTTTGTTTTTGCGAGTTTTTTTTTTGCTGGACATGCATCTCCGCGCGGGAAGTGTGGTGGTTGTGTAATCGTTAAGAGTAATTTAATAATACGGGAAGAACCGTTTTTCTATGTAGTGCCAAGCCTCAGGCTCAACCGACCACCCGACCTTTGTAGCTGAATTCGCGGGCAGTTCTAACATGTGCACTATTAGGCTTCATACGTGGAAAAAAAAAACGCCTGTGTATTTATGAAGCCGTGTATTACTACATATGCCAAAGAGCAGAATTTCTTAGAAAAAAAAAGGATTTCAACTACTGGTTTCAAGACGATAGTTTTGAATTCATAGAGCAATGCCCCTTGTGTTCAGTGCAATCATTACAAGGCCTACAGGTCTACTACGGTGGCTGCCGATTTGAGACTATGCTGCATTTCAACATTTGGCAAGTTTTTAGGAAAGTAAAAGGCAGTGTAATGAACAGTGAAATTTGGTAACCAACGGCTTCGACCAACTTTTGGATCACTGGTCAAGGCTATAACGAACAGACCTCGAAGACATGTATATGTTTAGGCCTCAGCTACTCTGATTCAGCCACTTGATTGACTACAGGGAAGTGTTTCTGACGTATGGTGCGGAAATTTTGAAAAAAAAAAAACGGGCGCTCAACACTCTAATTTCTTTATCAAAAGATAACTACTGATATCTCACGTTAAAACGGTAATTGCCTAAATTTCTTTATATACACAACTCTCTAATCAACACTTCGAGCCATTTTAAAATGCACGATTGTGAAATGTGGAAAACAGCGCATAGTTCCCATCCCCGAACTAGCCCTGTTTTTAAAGAAGGTTGAACGCATTCTTTTTAACAACTCAGTGTAGTCCAGAGAAAAATAAACATTTCACTATAACTATCGAAAGCCGTTGGTAAAAATGTATCCATCCTCATAAATTGTTATCTAGTCCGGTAAATCCCGAACGCTTCATTGATTTCGGGCGTCAGAGACAGCTAATGCTGAATGAAACGTTCGAGTGGCACTGATTGACACGGACTCCCCCCCCCCCCCCCCCCCCCCCCAAAAAAAAAAAAAAAACAAAGTGCCCATCTCCGTGTCACGCGGTGCAACCAAGTTTTGTGAACTCTCGTTCAGCATCCTAACGCAGAAATAAAAATGAAAAAAAAAAATGCAGGGCTACAGGACTTGAACACGGAGCTAACGAAACGAACACACCTCAGACGCTTCGCTTTTTTGTTTTTTGTTATCATTTCGGATAACCCACGTATTTGTTCATATAAGTCCCGTTGGTGATCGCTTAAAACCTTGGCAGCCATTGTCGAGAAAATGCAGAGGCCGGCGTGATGTCATGCCACGTGAGTAGTCGATGCCGACTCGTGTGCTAAGAGAACTTACACTCACGTTGCTGGTTGCATCTGTTACCGCAGCTATGGAAAGAAAAGGAATGGCCTCAAAAGGAAGTGTTCTAGTGGTTACATAGAACGAAATTCAGGCAAGACCATCGAACGCTATCATTTGTGCACATGTGAAAGCGCGCAGACTGCACACATATTGCGACCCGCACGATACTTGGTCTTTATGTAATTATTCAGCATGCACTTAGTTTCACATTACCACTGACAAGAAATGCGCGATGGAAGTTGAAATATCAGACGCATCTCGAAAACTGTGACTACACAAGCGATGATGATGATGATGATGATGATGATTTGTGGGGTTTAACGTCCCAAAACCACTATATGATTATGAGAGACGCCGTAGTGGAGGGCTCCGGAAATTTTGACCACCTGGGGTTCTTTAACGTGCACCCAAATCTGAGTACACGGGCCTACAACATTTCCGCCTCCATCGGAAATGCAGCCGCCGCAGCCGGGATTCGAACCCGCGACCTGCGGGTCAGCAGCCGAGTACCTTAGCCACTAGACCACCGCGGCGGGGCGACTACACGAGCGAAATCGGCAGACAACTCTAGGTCATTGCACTTGGATCGAATAAACACAATTCGGTGGTTATAACAGCGGATATATGTATACTTATCTAGCACTACACATAATTTATTCATCGTATGGTAACGCTAGCCAGATTTTGGCAGTAATACACCTGCCGCGGCGGTCTTGCATGCAGTGCTCGGCTGCTGGTGTGAAGGTAGCAG